CTCCATGACAATCAGACCCACCAAATAATGAGTGAGGAAGAGGGAGAAAGGAAGGGAAAGAAAAGGCAGCCCAACCTCACGGGAGGGTGGGGGGGTGGGGAGGTGGGGGAGGGCAGGGAGTTGGGGACCAGAGATGAAAAGAACCCTCCAAACCACAGGGGAGCCCCCAAGCCCAGGCCCCGGTCCTGGAGAAGAAGTATGAGGACATTTGGATACAAGCTTGGGAAGGGTCCAAGACCCATTTTTCTGCAATTTTCAGTTCTCTGGACTGAAAAGGGCATGCTGGCGAGCACTTCACAGTGAGACAGTAAGAACCAGTTAATGTCCCTAGACCCCCAGGGCAATTCCCAGCAGCCCTGTGCATGGGGCAGACGACAAGAACACTGAACAGGGGTATGGCCCTACTCCCTGAACCCAGCCCAGCCAGGACCTCAGCCCAGAGCTCTGGTGGAGATGGGGAGATTGGCAGGGCCTACCACAGAAGCTGGCCTGGCCCACAGGCTGCTGGGCCCCAGGCCACATACCTCGACCCTCTGACCCAGGCACTGCTTAGCACCATACAGGACCAGGAAAAGGAAGGGGGCCCCAGCTCCCAGCCTCCCCACCCCAGTCCTGCTGTGCCTAACACAGGCCCTGGTCACTGGCTAGCTCTCTCAGGAAGCAGCTCCGGGCAAGGGAAGCTCCGCCTTCTCTCATACCTCTGACCACAGAAAACCACCAGGATGGCTGGGTCGGAACATGACTTACAGCTTCAGATAGGGCGAGTCCTGCTCTGTGACTGTGGTCTCAACCTCCTCCTAAACTTCGGGGCACAAAGGTGTGCCCCGACTGGCCCAGGTCCCCTCACCTCAACAACCAGGCACAGAAACGAGGAGGTCTTGACCAGCTGTAGGTCAAGTGGGGGACAGTCAAGACCTGAAGGGGGCCCAGGAGGTGAGCAGGAAAAGGAAAATCTTTCTGTGTGATGGAAGGATGGAGAGCTAAGCTCCGAGAGGGAGCAGAGCTCCAGGCCACAGCCAAGCTGCTGGGCCTACAGCAGAGAAAGTGGGGAGCAGGCAGGGGCGGGGTCCCTCAGGGGGAGGAGGCGCAGAAGCAGCTCCAGCAGAGGCAAAGGCAGCTGCTGTTGTGCTTATGTCATCAAGGAAGTGGTGGGAGTTTGTAAAAGGGGCCCCCCCAGGGCCCTGGAATTCCAGAAAGGGTCAAAGGGTCAACCTGCTTCGAGCTCTCATTCAAGGGAAGCTGCAAAGGCCAGAGGCTTAGCAGGAGGGGGCAGGGGCGGTTCTCTGCACTCTGCCTTCAGGGACCCAGAACAAGTTTCCCCAGGGCCACGGGACAGGAGAGGGGCTGGGCTAAAAGCAAGAGGCTACTTGGGGCAAAGGAAGGCCGAGGCTTCAGGACAACAAGGAGAGGGAGCCTCTGGTCAGGCCTTCTCCCAGCTAGCTGTGCCCAGGGGGGTGGACTGGGCAGAGCAGCATCTTCAGCTCCGCCCGCCCCGCACAGACCCTTCAGCGGGAGGCCCGGATCTGCAGGCCCTTCCAGGTGCTGGTGTTTCAAGGGGGAGAAGGGGTTCTCCAGGCCCTGACAAGGCCCTTGGGAAGGGAGCACCAGCAATGACAGCCCTCGGGAAAGACAGGCCCCACCACCCACAAGGGCACCGAACACGTTTGCTTCCTCACTTCAGAAAGGTGGGTCCCAAATCCCGAGGCCACCTGATGCCAAGCCTGGTCAGGCCTCTGTGGCAGCTCAGAGGACCAACTCCCCTCCCAGAGCCAACTCTGACTAGTGGCCCTGGCCTTGCTAACCCTGTTCTGGACTTCAAGACTGGTGGGCCTCGCGGGTCTTCCCCATGGACTGAGAACCGACCTGAAAACACAAGTCCTTTTCCTTGGACCTCTGGGAAGGGAGCAGGCGATCCCACGGGCTCTCGGGGACCATAAGACCAAGGGGTACCTGCTAGCAACATCACCGAGATGCGGTGTTCCTAAACCCCCAGTCAGGGGGCTCCAGCGCTATCCTACAAAGAAGTCTGGCCGCCACCCAGCACCTGGCAAGGCTGCCGGCTCGTGCTGCACCTGCGAGCATCCAGAGCTGGAGTTTCCCCCGTTTGGGGGAAGGGCACTTTGTGATCCCCTGGTGTTCCCTCGGTCTGGGCCTGAGCTGCGGTGGCTGTCCTCCCGCACCCGCAGAAATCCCACAACGGTTACGACTGTTCTATTCTGTTCCTGCGGCTGCACCACCATTTGGAATCTTAGCTTGCTCCTCCCTCATCCTGTCAGGCTGGAGCTCCTCCTCTGCAAGGGGCAGGTAGGGGAAGGGGGCAGGGGCTCCTGCTCTCCCCCACCCCCCAAGATAAGTTTAGAGTCATGCAGGAAGGACAGCACTTCAGACCCCAAGCAGGAAAGGCACCAGAGTCCTGCCTGTGGCGTCCGGGAGCGGGGGTGGGAGGCTGGAGGGGCCGGGCACTCCTCACACACTGCACACAGCCCCCCAGCAGTGGGGATGGGTTCCCCACCGGCACCCACTGTGGGACTGGCGGGGGGTGGGTGTCAGGAACAGGACACCCCGAGGGCAGTGATCCAGGTGCTCTCCAGGCAGGGGACAGCTGGACTGGAGGGCCCAGTGGGCTAGCCCGGAAGGAGTCTGCGCAGCCCCAGCAAACGCTCCCCTCAGATTAGAGAGGTATGTGGGTTGGAACCTAAACACAGGATGTGAAGTCCAGAGGAAGGGGACCAGAGGGGGAGGGGGCGGAAGGGAGAGACAGGGCCAGGCCCGGTCAGCTCCAGCGCCATTAACCCCTTCAGGGCCATGCAGAGGAACAGGGCCAACTGGAAGCATCTGTGCTATCAAACCACATCCAAGCCTCCAATACCCTCTCCTCCCTGCACCCCCTGCCTCCATTGACAGGATCTGAGTAAGCTTTGAGGGTAATGAAGCAGACCCAGAGAACCAACCTCCCTCCCTCCGTGGGAGAGGGTTGGCCAAGGGTCAAGAGATGGGCACCCATGGGACAACATCGAAGCCCACCAGCCTGAGGGCAGAAAGAGGGGACTTTGGGGACTCGTTACTCTTGGTGAGGGACTTCACATCTAGGCCCTTCCGTGGCCAAGGTCACGCAGCTCTTGCACTGGTGTGCACGGATGTGAAAGGAGCTAGCGGAAGGGACAGGATGGAAAGAAAATGTCTCCTCCCTACTTGTAAGAAAAAAAAGCCACCTCCTTGGTGGGGAAAAGGTGCCAAAGAGGAAAGAGGGCAGAGGACACCCTCAGGAGCTGGGCAGCTAACTTCCAGCAGGGGGAGCTCAGGGAAACCATGTCCTTGCCCTGCCTCTCCCATCTGAGAGCAGGAAGACCACCTGAAGTGGTTGCCAGAAATATCTGCTCCCAGAGACCTCCCACCTGCCCAGGGATCAGACCCACCAAAGTCTGAGAAGCACCAATTTGGATGGTGCCTGCAAAGCACGTCCACTTCTGTGTCCCCATGGGAGACATAGCTGTGAGGGGCCTCTGGCCATCTGACAGAGCCCTGAGCTGCAGGGCCTTGACTCATCAGTCACAGGGCAGAGCCGGGCCTCCGCCTAGTGATTCTTTGACTGCCTATCCCACAGACAGAGACTCCGAGGCCTGCAGTGTCAGAGGGGCTGGCCCAAGATTCGGAGCCAAGCAGCAGAGGGGGTGGGGTCAGCAGTCCCAGGACCAGCCCTTCTCACCTCGGCCTTGTACATACGGATCAGACCCTGGTTCACTTTGGACCAGGAGGGCACAGCGCTGATGTTCCACAGCTGGTTGGAGTGCTCTGCAAAGGGGCCTGTCTTCATCTGGAAAAGACAATCCACAGCTGGAGAGGCAGGCTACCTGGGAGCTCATCCCCCGGATCCCCATAGCAAGGTCACGCATATGTGCGTACACACAAGTGCGCACGCGCACACACGCACAAGCACGTACAAACATGCACACACGCTAAAGCACATATGTGCACGCGTATGTACGCACAGACAGACACGCAAACGCATGCATGTATGCTTGAGGACTTGGCTGCATCATCTGGGGGGGAGGGTACACACACACACGCACACACACACACGCACACACGCACGCACACACATAAGTACCAGAGACGGTCTCTCTTGGTCTGCAAGACCCACAGGGAAAATATAACCTCCAGAGCCACCCTCTTTCTTCCACAGCCAAAGAAAGGGGGCCCGATTCCCACCACCACCACATTCAGCAGCCTCAGAAAAAGAAAATCTCAATCCAAGCCCTGGCTGGGACTCCCAGCAATTCCCACCCCTCAGCCACCGAGCGCTGCACCAGCACAAGGACCTGCTCCCACTCAGATAAACAGCAGCAGCAGGCTCCCCAGCCCTCCCCGGCCCCACACACAGGGTGGGCTCTACCGCCAGGGACTCAGGCTGAACCTGCCACAGGCAGAGCCAGAGCCAGAAGAGCGGGTTTGGGGGAAGGGCAAGGTGGGGAAGACTAAACCCAGGAATCCAACTGCCCTCTGCGTGGCAGGCAAAAGGGAGGGAGGAAAAGAGGGGGCAGATGTGAACTGTGAGCCAGGGGCAGCTGCAGCAGATTCGGGAGGAAGGTCTGTTTAGAAAGCCTGACCCACTAGGCCAGGAGGTAAGGAAGGGATGGCATTCACAGCAGCAAGGGACAGGCCGGAGCAAGGAAAGCTCCATTCCTGTCCCTCCTCTTGCCGAGAGTTTGACACTCCGGGAAGGAAAGAGACCCTGCAGCAAGCCCAGTGAAGTTCCCATGACATGAGAAACCACGGCACTGAGACAGGGAGGCTTGTGCGCCTGCGTGCACCCTCCGCACAAGGCCAGCACATCTGTGGCTAGCAGGCACTTCAACCCCCCTCAACATTGCCCCCCCAAGCTTATAAACAGTACTGATGCTGGCTGGGAGAATGGGGTTCAGCACCCTGGGCCCCAGGCTTCAAAAGAAAGAGTCTGAAAGGCAAAGAGGCTAAGCTGGCAAAGAAGCAGAGACTTGGACCCTGAGTGGGTAGAAGGTTCCAGAAGAGGCTGTGAGAGGAGGCGGGGAGAGGGAGAGCTGTTCCAGGGAGAAAGGATGGGCTTAAAGCTCCCTCTCCATATTGGGCATAAGAATAGGGGCCCAGGAACTCATAACACCCCATCGTTTGGCTGTGGACTCCCTGGGTGACCCACTCCCACACGCCTCTCATTTCTCCAATAAGGGCCTTGTACCAAACTGCAAGATTTAAGTCCAAAAAGCTGCCATTTACTACTGTCACCTCCCTTTCCTGGCTAAAGTTCCCCAAAAGCCTGTCTCAACCCCCACGTTCAGTAGCAAGGACAACAGACTCCTTCCTCCAGCAGTGAGGCCACAGCCTGAGGTGGCAGATGGAGACAGGACCCACCCTGGTGGCCGCAGGGCTTTTCCCGGGTTAGTGCCTACACCCACAGTCTTTCCCCAACTCTCTATTTCTTTTTTTTTTTTATTTTTTTATTCTTATGTTAATCCCCATACATTACATCATTAGTTTTAGATGAAGTGTTCCATGATTCATTGTTTGTGCATCCCCAACTCTCTATTTCTAAGGCTCCCTCCTCCAGGATGGCTGCCGGTACCCAAAGCCTATGGGGCCTGGCCTTCAAGGAGCTTTGTTCCATCCATCCTACTCAAGCAGGCTCCACCCCCAACTACTGGCCCTCCCTCTCGCCCCACCCCTTCCCCAAAGCTCTCTGCCCCTTGGGGACCAGCGCCAGGCTCCAGTCCTCTCCTGCACACTTCCAGGCCCAGAGAAGTTCAGGGATCACTGGAGATGTGTAATCAGTTTCACTCTGGACAAGGCCCGATGAACAAACCACCCCAGAGGCACCCTGCTGGCTTGGTCCCACAGCATAGCTCCAGAAGCCTGCTCAGCAAGGGCCCCGAGGCCAGAGTCAGGAGATGATGCTGGGAAACCAGAGGCTCTGCCTCGTGGGCCAGCCTCACCCACTAGGGGCACGGGAGGGGACCCCAAAAGGCCTCTTTGGCCTGCCGGCAGAGCCCCAGTGGCCCTGCCCCTCCCTACGGAAAGGCCAGAGATGCTCTTTCTCTAGAGGAGCTGCCCCCCCCTCCACTCCACCCCGCCCCCAGGCCTTCAGTGTCCCCAGGTCTCCCTAAGTCCTTCAGAAGGAGACTTTGCAACTCTGGGAAAGGAAAACAGACGAGGGGGAAAAAAGGAATCGGGAGCGAGAAGACAAAAAAAAAAAAAAAATTAGCTCATTCTAGCCACAAAGGGAGAAGAGAAAGAGCGAGAACGAGCAAGCAAACTGCAGTCCCGCAGTGACCCCAGGGGAATCGTGTGAGTCAGAGCAGCCATATTGAGCAGGAAATTACTCACAGACGCTGCGTTCCTGCCTCTCCACTCCCAGGAGAATCGGCCTTTTGTAAATGGTTCCTCTGTCAGTAACTGAGGGGGGATGGGGGGAGGCTCTGCACAGCGCCTTCCTGTCAGCTCCTTCCCTTCCAGCTGAAATCTGATCCCTCCCTTCCCAAAACTCCAAATTTAGAAGCCAGATTGAAACTGAAATTCTTTTCCTGCCTGCCCTGGGCTCTTAAAGGCGCCAGGGCTGCATTTCCTGAGACAGCAGAAGCCCTGCAAGGTGGGGTCCCTCATCCAGGATGCCCAGGGCTACCAGGGCAGGTCCTGGGAGACGGGGAGGAGATACCCGGTTCCATTTCCAACTTCTTGTTGTTTTGTTTTTTCTCCTAGTTGCACCAGCCATCCTGAACCCCAGGTCTCCAGAGGCAACACCGCCCCCTTCCAGCCCGAAGCCCATGGAACTCTGCACAGGCCTCCAGATCCCCTGTGTCCCAGTGGCAGGCCTTCAGCCTCCCTTGGTCAGGGTGAGCCAGGTCAGGTCACTCATTACGAACTACGGGCGGTGAAACACTGGTGCGGAGTGGAAGGGGGCTGGGGTGGGCGTAGCCAGCACCCGCAGTGCCAGTCAGGTCTCAGCTTGGCCAGGTGGATGAAAGGGAGCCCTCAGCCCTGCTGGCATTCAGTGTTTACCCCATGCCCAAGCACCTAGACCCAAAGTGAAAACCAGGCCTTGCAGATAGGGTGCAGAACAAGCAAAAACTCTAGGGTCTGCCTTTCCCCCAATTAAGTTACTAAAACCTTCTCAAAATTCAATGTGCCCTTAGCGCCACCTAGTGGCCACTGCAGGATTTCCTCCAGCAGAGGAACTGGGTCCCAAACTTTAAAAAGCTTTTGGGTTTTTAGACCAGCATAACCAACCAAACAAATAAAAATACAAAATTTTAACCTGGATTCAATTCCCATCTTCCCCGAGGCCCAGCCCTGGCCTTCTTCCTTGTTAGTCACTGACGGGGACCCAGGGGCTTGGCCAGCCACCAGAGGGGGCCAGAACAGCCGAGCCTTTTAACCCCCACGTGAGCAAAGCAATGGCTCAGCCTAGAATGTGTACCCCTTCTCCCCACCCTGCTCCTCCCGCTCCTCCCAGGGTCTCCCAGGGCTCCCCAGACCCTCGCATTCCATTCTGGAAAGAGCAGCACATGACTGGCTCTTGAGGCAGTGAGCCAGGCTGCCCCAAGTCCTTCTGACCTTGGGCCTGCTACACTGCTGAAGGCAGCAAATCCGAGACTGAAGCAGTGGCCGCCCAGCCGTCAGTCCCGGCTCCATCTGCTGACTTGGAAAAACGTGTCATTCCCCTCTGGCCTCTGGAGTTTGGCAGAGGTCTGAGCCGAATGCTGACCATGAGGAGCCTGGGGCAATGGCTGCTCAACCAGGCTTCTCTGTTCAGGGGCCTCAGAACCAGGGCCAAGAGAGCAGCCCCGGTGGGGAGGGGACCACGGCCGAGGCAGGAGCATCACTGGGCCCAGACGTGAATGTGGGCATTGGAAAGAGAATGGTGGCAAGACCCTCTCCAGATGGCAGAACAGGGTACCCTTTGAAAGTTTGGGGGAAGGGGGAGAGGTATGCAGCAGGGAGGATGAAAGGTCCTGAGAGAGAGGCCCTTGAGCAGTGAGTCCCCCAATTCCGTGCAAAGTCACCTGGCAAGTGTATTTAATACAGGTTCCTGGCTCTTGTCCCCCAGGATTCTTGATTCAGAAAGCTGGCGTTGGGCACAGGAACGTGGATTTTAACAAGCGCCCTGGGTGACCTTGAGGAAGTGGGAGACCTGGCCTTAGTAGGCAACAGCACCCAGTTAATAAACATCCCCTGCCAGGTGGGCTGGGGACCCAGGCCTGCTTGGTTCACCTCCAGCACTTCAGCTGGCCCATGTCCTCAGGCACTGACAGAGATGTGTCCCCTCAGCAGAAATCCATCCCTGCTGTCCGCGTTAGTCCCTCCGCCTCCTGCAATGGTTGCATCCCACACAGCCACATGCATGTGCTGGACAGGCCTCATGGGCCCCACGCACCCCCTCAGACCTGCTGCATCGGTCACCAAGTGCACTAGTGACGGAGTCTCAGTCCCTCAGCTCGAGGCCCACGGAGTCAAGAGTCACCCCAGACCACTGATTTGGGGGAGGAGATCCTGGACAGTCAGAAGGTGGCTTAACCTTTCATGGGCCTGGTGGGCCTTCCTTGTCAATAACCCACCTTCGAGGGCCAGCCCTGCTGTCTTCAGGCAAGAGTGCTGGCTCTTCTGTCCCACTCCAAAGCCACCAGCCCCAGTTCATCTCGGCCTGGAGGCCACCATGGACTTCTCCCTCACCTCAGTGATAAACAGGATACATTCCAGGAACATGTAGTCCTTGTGGTTCTCATTCACAGCCTTCTCATCGACAAAGTGCCTGGGCTCCAAATACGGGTGGTCTGGGAACAGCAAAGAGCCCCAGGGTTCAGAACCAGACATTCACACCCACCGAGCACCTCAGCCCAGGGCAATCTACACCCACACTGGGGCCATAGTCCCACCCACATGCCCTCAACACTTGACCTTGCGGGAGCAATAAATGACCAGTGTGTGTATGTGCGCACGCACAGTTGCGCATGTATGTGTTCTAGTGGAACGAGCGGTGGCTTTGCCTTTTTCTAGCCGTGTGACCTTGAACCAGTGACTTCAGCCCTCTGAGGCTCGGTTTCCTCATCTGTACAGTGGGGCTATAAAGAGCACCTCCCTTATACTGCCTGATGGTTGGGACCACAGGAAAACCCCAGGCACAGCACCCGCACAGGTTAAGCATTCGTCAATGGTGGCTAGTCTCATGCAGGCAAAGACCCTTCCCAGGGTCACTGAGAAGGTTCTGGGAGATAATCTACCTAAAACGCTTAGAGCAGTGCCTGGCACAGACCAAATACGCAAATGCTTATGAATACTATTTTGTAGGCAGTTAATCCTACCCTGAAGCACAAGTCACCACCCAACCCTCACCCACCGGAGATCCCAGGGAGCCGCCCCAGGCTGGAAAGCAGTGGTCAAGCGGGGGGAGCCAGCAGAGAGGGCCCACAGGAAGGAAGCGGCTCACTGCCCCGCGTTGAGTGGCTGCTCCCTGATGGGCCCCCTTGCACACAGCTCGATAATAACGGCAGATGATGCCGGTCACCAAGTCAAAAGAGCCCCTCATTTTCAACATAAAACCCCGCAGTTGCTGCCAGGAGCTGGGGCGCATTTCACACCAGTCCATTATGCGCCAGGCGAGCGCCCCTGCTCCAGCCCGTGTCACTTCCTATTATCTAGGCACACTCTGCCTCCGCCTCCCCCGGCCTGCCGGGCTGGCTCGCAGCACAAGGTCGACAGCAAACAGCCTCCGTCAATAGCCGGTCTAATGCCTGCTTTATAAGCTGTCACTGTCTGCCCTGAGCAGCAGAAGTGAGGCGGGAAAGGAGGAGGGCGGACAGAGCACACACCCCGGGGGCGGGGGGGGGGCGGAGGGGTAGGCGCCCCTTCAGTACCTATCAGCTGCGAGCTGCCCCAGATGAAGGGCAGAAACTGAAAGTCGTCCAGGCCCCACACTCCCTGGCTGCCGGCTGGCTCCATTCTGTATGTCTTCTGGAGTTTACGCATAACCTCCAGGTACCTGCACAGGAGGGAGGGGAAGAAAGAGGCAGCAGAAAGCAGACAGACAGTCTCAACCCTTCTGCCACTGGGAGCTCACGGAGGCCAGAAATAACTACCTAAGAGTGTAACTGGTCTCTATTTTCAATGAAAACCTACATGCGTAAGTTATGCATCAGCTGGTACTCTCAAAATAATGTCGCTTTATTTTTTTCTCCCACGCTCAGCCTTCTTTTGGCCCAGGAAAGGGGGGTTTAGCGCCATCAACTCCTGACAATGTGAGACCCTGGGCAGGAGCCCCAGGCTCTCTAACTTTGGCCTGCCCATCGGAAAGCTGGTGGGGGACAGAGCAGATCATCTCCTGGGGCCTTCCGGCTCCCACCTTCCCTGTTCTCAGGGGCTGCGTCAGCATCACCAGAGTGGGGCCCGGAAAGAGAACGGGTGCTGTCAGAAGCCTCTGGTGGCTGCACCACACCTGTACGGTTCGGGGGTGGGGTGGGGTGGGGAGTGGGTCAGAGCCCGACTGCAGGGGTTCAGCTGGCTGTGTGAATTCAGGGATCAGAAGACAGCTGATTTCTCTGGGCCTCCGTTTCTTCACCTATAAAATGGAAATGACTGGGGCACCTGGGTGGCTCAGTCGTTAAGCATCTGCCTTCAGCTCAGGTCATGATCCCAGGGTCCTGGGATCGAGCCCCACATCGGGCTCCCTGCTCAGCGGGGAGCCTGCTTCTCCCTCTCCCTCTTCCCCTGCTTGTGTTCCCTCTCTCACTGTGTCTCTCTCTGTCAAATAAATAAATGAAATCTTAAAAAAAAAAAAAATGGAAATCACGGTCACTGCTGCCTAGAGCTGTTGGGGGAATCTAGGGAGGGAGCTGCGCGTGGAGAGCTCAGGACGAGGCCTGACACGGCAAACACACGGAAGCATTAGCAGTCGGCACGTGACTTTCCTTCACTTGTCCTTACTTGGATCTGAACCTGTCAGAAGGCTTCTGGGACGCCCCGTCCACAGCCAGAGCTCGATCAGGACAGGCCAGAAGAAGCAACAGCCAGTCAGGAGCGCCCACCAGCATCCCACCCCAGTCTGACAAGGAGAGGAGAACCCTGCTGCTCTTCTTCTCACTCACCGATCGAACACCTTGAAGACTATGGCTATTTGGTCGTCTACCCGGAGCACCCCGATCTTGCAGAGGCAGCAGAGGAAAGCAGCAAAGGCTGCTTCATGTCCTAGGGAAGAAGAAAACAGCCGAGGTCGACGGTCTTCCAGAAAAAGGAGTGGGACTGTTCTTGGTCTCACCAGAGTCCAAATCACTGAGAACTGCCCCTCTACGGAGGGAGGTCAACATGGAGATAATGGGGCCTCCGCCCCTTCCAGAAAGACCCAGGCCCTTTTGAGAACTACCACTACTATAATTCTAAAAGGCCTAGAAGGCCAAGGCTGTGGACTTCTTAAACAGACATTTGCATTTTGTTTTGTAGGTTTAACTCACTCGTCAATTCCACGCTATCTATTGAGCACCTACTACAATGGCAGCCACTTTCCGTGTCAGGCACTAGGGAAACCACATCCATGCCTTTGCGTGATAGTTTATGATCTACCAGGATGACAAACATTAAACAGACAATCACTTCTATAATTTTAGCTCCGAAGGAGAAGGACAGGGTGATAACTGGAGGATAACACAGGGTGTTCAAGAAGGTTTCCCTAAGAAAGTAATATTTAATCTGAAAGATGAATAAGAGTTGGTAAGGCATTGGATGTGAGGGAAGCAAGAAGAGCCATCTAGCCAGAAGAAACATCATGTGCAAAGGTGCTGAGGTGAGAAAAACTGGGATATGTTTGAAGAACACTAGGAACGCCAGTACGGCTAAAGTAGAAAGGGCAAGGGAGAAAGCGTAACAAGATGAGGCCGGCAATCAGACAGGCCTTACCTGCTACGTAAGAAGCTCAGACTCAGTACCCTAAGAGCAACGGGAGCCACTGAAGGCTTCCAAGCAGGGAACAACACATGGTCACATTACAGGGTCAAAAGGCAGCCCCTTCCATAGGGTCCCTGGCTGGCTCAGTCAGTGGAGCATGTGACGCCTGATCTCGGGGTTGTGAGTTCGAGCCCCACAGTGGGTGCCGAGATTGCTTAAAAATAAAATCTAAAAAAAAAAAAAAAAAAAGGCACTCCCTTCCGTTCCCAGTCATGTCAAATAGAAATGGTCAGCACTACAGACACCACCGATCAGACCCCGGACTGAATACCATGGTTCACAGTATTATAAAAAAATGTATTTGGACGGAGGCAGGAAAGAATACTTCAGCGACTTCCTGCCCATCTCTGTAGAATGAAGGTGTCTCCAGGGCCTGGGACGCTTGTGAGCTGTTCCTCTCACCTGCAGTTTCTGATCTCCACCAGCCACGGTCCCAGCCACCATCACTCAGGGGCTCTGGCACACTTGACAGCAGAAGAAAAACCCACCCCTGGCTGACCTGGCCAGTCTCCCCTTCAGGGTCCCTCCCGGTCAGTCTCAGTCAAAACTCCACCCCGGGAAGTCTCCAAACACTTGATAAACCTGCTCCCCAGCAACAGGGGGAGCAGAAGACAACGCCTCCCCAGGATCCAGGTTCAAGGGGGCCCTTCTCCAGGCCTGCCAACGCGGCCTGTGATTGTCTCGAGGAACCTGAGCCCCAGGCGAGGGGAAGGCCTAAGAGAGCAGCCTTGCACTTGCCGCTTCAGGGCACGTGAGAAAGGTGAGCCTACTACAGCAGGGTCCTCCCTTGCCGCCCACCCCCCACCCCAC